TCAAGATTTTCAAAAACAAATTTAAAAGGAACCACAGATGACTCTATGAAACAAGACAGCCAAGAGAAGGCTCTAATACCATGTCAATTTTCAGCTGAATGCCTCTCAAAGTGAGAGAGTCTTTTCCATTATATAGAGAAAATAAAGATTACACATCCTTAAAGATCCGCCATTCCTATCCCTAAAGATCAGCTATTCTATCTATACAAATCTGCCATTTGAATCCCTCTAAATCTGCCTTGCTTATCCCTCCAAATCAGCTATTCTATCACAATATTTAATTCATATGATTCTACAACAAATGTATATGATCATGCTAATTTATATCACTATATAATTACATTAATATATACAATCATTTAGTTGTCTATCATGCTAACAGCTTCATTTAGGATGTAATAGAATTGCTTAATATATTATCTTAATTTTCCGAACTGTGTGCTTTCTATATGAATACGTGTAAATGTCTATGTTTGTAACTACATAATTATAAGCGTTTAGTATCTAATAGGTGATGTATCCCAAAATATTTCAAATTTTTCTTCACCTTTCTTTAGCAAATCTTCTACTCCAAAAGACACTTCAGTATGAACTCGTAAATAACAATGTCCAAATATCACGATAATGGTAACATGAGTCTGAAGATGCTGTCTTTTTCTGTATGTTACAGATTACAAGTGGTTGAGGATGAACAAACTTGATTGCGCTTCGAGCTGCAAACCAAATAATTCCAAAATATATTGTTCTTGTGATGGATTAGTTCTTCTTGTAGTTTATTCTGATTTACTCGATAAACACATTTTTCTATGGAACCCCTGCACAAGAGAATCAATAGTACTTTCCCGTCCAGATTTTTCACTGTTACATTGTGTATGCGGATTTGGATATAACGCAACTAGTGATGACTATAAGAACCTAGCAATTAACCTGAATGCAGGTAATAGTTACAATATTTCTATTGAAATTCTCGTGCTAAAAAGTGGTTCCTGGAGATGATTTTGTTGTCCTACGGCTTTCAGCATGTTAGAGGTTTTAGGAATTATGATAAGGATTATTTTGCATTTGTACATGGAGCATTTCAGGATATTATACTATCGTTTCATTTAATATTTCAAATGAGGTGTATGAGAGATAACGTTGTTCGAGCAAATGTTTGATGTTGACATTATACTCTGCCTACTGCTTCATGGACCATGGTGTTCCAGTATTGGAAAGAATGCTTTGCTTTTATTGTATATCTAATAATATGCCGGTTTAAGTTGTGGATAATGAAAGATTATGGTGTCGAGGAATCTTGGATTCGATTGATTACAATACAAGATACTAATCTTTTTTTATTCCACGCAAATTGAAATATATGTTTGCAGATGGTAAAGTGCTACTAATGATCAGCAAACATATTGGATTCGGTTAGTTCTGCATTGATGACATCTAGAGAATCATCTTGATTATGGCCCGAAAGTTATACCGTTAAGGAAGGAATTGCTTATACAGAGAGCTCGATCTCGCCTAAATTAATTACTTAGTATTTGCCTACGAGTGATCATGACAAGTAGAAATTTGCATATGGGGAAGGTGC